TTAGTGTTTTTAGTGTTATTTTAATGGTCTTTCTTGAAAAATGAAAAAATTGGTAGTCTTTCTGATTTATAAAACCCAAAAGAGTGAGGATCTCTAATAGATTTTGCCTATAAATATAGACAGGACTGCTCTATTTTCTCAATCAATGATAATTCTTTTACTATGAGGCAGTTACAAGGAGCTCATATTCTCTCTCATTACATTATATCCACCACTTATTTTCTCAGCTCTTTTATATTCAGTCCAAAATATTTATTGCAGTTAATCATATCTCTATTTAGTCCTTTTTATTAGGTAGATAGTAGATATGAAAACTCTATACTTTAAATATATACCTTTATATATTGTTAAAATTAACTATAAAATATACAAGATGATATATATTACATATTACAGCTATGTAATAAATCACCCAAGAACAAGCAAAGTGCAAATCATTGAAATAAATTTTTAGAAATATTAAAATTATATTCATAGACTATTTTTAAGTTATATCCTGCATGTTAATATTTACTACATTTTCTCAAGACATCAGTTTATTTATATTTTTTAATAGTGTCATTGGGAAAGAATATGTGATTAGCAAATACTCCTTTATTCCCTGAAAATAAATTCAAAGATAGCCTTCTTTAAAATGGCAATCTCCTTCATAACCTCAAAGACATGTGCTAAATTATCACTGTCTGGGTAAACTTCACAGAAACCCCTGAAACTTTATTAGAGGCTCCAATATTTTCAAACCTCTTTTCTTATCCAAAGTCTTAGCAAAGTGGTTAAGAGTTATAATATGTGACTAGTGTCTATTGTTTCTTAATTATTTATTTATTTTTTCGTTTTCTCCCGTGGAGGTGATAATAAGCATATGGCAGAGAGCCAGGGATGTGTTAATGTGAAGGAAATGGGATTTGCTAATTCCCAAATAGTGAAGACAGACAAATAAAACAACAGTGAATAAACAATTCCTTAAAAATTGGACTGTTTGCCAATATAGAATGCTATACTATTTTAATAAACAGAGATTAGGACATTATGGAACTTTATTTATTAAAAACAATATGTCTATGAATTATGCCTTGTGTTAAGCTAAATTACACAGTTTTCAAAAATATTTTCTCCCTTCTGCTCCTATTGTCTTTCCTCTTCCTGAAACAGTGTCCTGGACCAGATTTGTGGCTTCACTCCAGTTTTTCTTTTCTCCTGTATTGCTCTCCTAAGTTTCCCTTTCCCACCAACACTTCAATATGTAAACAAACCATAACCCAGTTTTTCAATAAAGAATTCCTTAATTATCCCAACTATTTATATTCTCCTGTTTTGTTATAGCATAAACCTGTATACTATACAATTTATTTTATTTTCTTTGCTTTTACTTCAGTTCTATCAGACTTTGCTTCCCAGAACATCCATTGCTTAAAAACAGGAGACATGACTATATTGTTTATCTATACTTCTCAGTCCTCTCCTGTCCTTATTCAGTGAAGATTATAGACAGGATACATTATAATACATAACATAATGGATCTCAGTATCATATGCACTGAGTTTATATTTTTCAATATGTTCAAAGTTTTGTACCCAAACCTCAAGAAATATATGGATATAGGTAGAAATTGATATTAGGTCTCTCTAATAATTGTCAAAGAAGATAACTTGCTTATGTTATTTTGTAGCTAATTTTGACAATTGCTAAATTATTACCTTTTTTCCCTTACCTAATAATGAGGCACGTACTGGAAGCTACAAAGATGAACCTAAAATCATGATTGTCAGTTTGGATGAGTCATGCTGGATGATATCACATGGAGAATGCCAAGTGAATTATACCTAGTTCTTCTCCTAATGCATTTCTAAGCAAGTGTGTGGAATAAAACACATACATATACACAAACACATTGTAAAATACTCTCAATATAGCAAACGAAAGGTAAACATAAACTTTTAACATTTCAATAGACAGAGAAGTTCTTTCTGACTGAAATTATTTGCTCTATATATTAACTAAGCATATATTTACTTTTATTTTGAAATTGTTCTCAGTTTGAAATTGTTATTTTAAAATTAATTAATTGGTAAATTTATCAATCCAAACTAATATATATAGTCACAGAAATTGGTAATAAATAAATATTTAGCTAAAATTACTTTATGGTAGAAAATTTAAAAAGAAGAGAATGTTTAGCAGCTCATCTACTACCAACAGGTTTTGCTGTTTGATGAAAATTTGTTCACATCGATTTATTATTGATTGAAGGAAGTCCAATAGTAATCATAGCAGGTCCCCACAGTTTGATATTATTTAAAATGTGTAGTTTTAGAAACCTGATTTTTTTTCTTAGCAAAAGACCAGAATATATTTTTCTCAAATGAATAAATTAATTAACATATTCATAAAGACTGATACACAGGTAAGAACAATAAAAGATATAAATGTAAGTGATAACAATATTTATTACTACATCACTTTCCACCATTTGATCCTGGGATTTATCTGCCACCAAAGAGAGTTCTGTTCATAACCTTTCCAGCTTCTCTACCTTTTGGGTAGAGAGTCAGCTTGAGTCCTAAAATTTTGTGATAGATACTCAGAAAACAGGGCAAAGAGATAGAATTAGAAAAGCAGAGTTGAATGTTTTATAAAAACAAACAAGTTTTATTTACAGGAGCAAAAAAATATTGAGATAAAATGAATGAGAAAAAGAGAAACACTGAGATCTTGTCATCTTAAAGTAGGAAAAGAGATTTTGACAGTACTGAGATTAACAGGTAAAGAAAGACTTTGGGGCATAGCAAGGTTTGGGAAAGTTTACACTATGATTTAAGTATCCCTTAACACGTTAACACGTTATGCGCTCAACTTGTTTTGTCTTCTGGATGAAAAGTATAGTGACTGACACTATACTTTCTGTCCAGACTGGTCAGTCACTGGTACCACCAGCATATTGGTGAAATCAGATATCACAGGCTAAACAGAAAGGAAGACAAAACAGGCTTGGTGCTTAATGTGTTAATGTTTTTAAGAAATTCAAGTAAATAACTAGAAAAATTAAAAGTATTTATATCACCTTAGATGACAGGGCCATATTTCTTTTAATATCCTATATAATAAAAGCCTAATATGCAAATTGTCCCTTCAACTGGGAGTTCGGCCGCTTCCTATGACGTGCGCTGACCATTAAGGGGCGGCACGAAACATGGTGGATGTCTGCAATGTGGTGCTGACAGCAGGCAGCAGTGGAGGCTCTGCTGGCCCTGATGGGCCCTAATGAGAGTGGGACTGCAGCGGGATGGTGGAGCAGGCGAGCGGGCGGCACCAGGCTAAGGTGGGTGTGACTAGGGGCCTGATCACCCTGCCAATCACCCCACAAACAGTAATCAGCAGTGGTGGCTGGCAGTGGGAGCACAATCGCCCTACCGATCACCCCACAAATGGCAATCAGCAGTGGGGGGGGGGGGGGGCATGGCCACCGCCCGGTTACCAGGTGCTAAAGGAGCTGGGCGGAGGCCTGATGACTCAGGCAGAAGGGAGTGTGCAGGGGCCCAGGGGCCCAGGTGTTTTCCAGGGCCCAGGAGTCAGCTGGTACCTGCCCTTCCACACCACACGCTTGAACTTCGATCACAGGTCAGCCCTAGGGACCACACCTGTGCACAAATTTTGTGGACTGGGCCTCTAGTCTATATATATAAAAGCCTTAGCAACTGGACCAACCGGCCAGTAGCTATGATGCTCAATGACCACCAGGAGGCAGATGCTCAATGCACAGGCATGGAAACATGGAACAGACTGATGAATCTCAGAGGGAAGTGGGGAGAGCAAGAAGAGATTAACCAAAGATCTTATATACATTCTAGAGGTTTGGTGCATGGCCTCACACGCCGGTAGGGTACCTCGGCTTGGCCTGTGGGGACCGGGCTGAAACTGGCTCTCTGACATCCCCCAAGAGGTCCCAAATTGTGAGAGGGCACAGGCCAGGCCAAGGGACCCCACTGGTGCACAAATCCATGCACGAGGCCTCTATTTCTTCTATAGAATAGAATTTGTACTAGATACTAGCCCCATAGGATTCTGGGCATTAGTTGGATTACATTTTAAAATCACTGTAATTTATAATGTTATTTATACATTTCAAGTTGAACTGATAATTATATTCCCTGACCGACATTTTTTTCCCCCTCTAGATAAATGACATTATATTGCTTGTTAAATTAACAGAATGTATGAGTATGGAATTTTTAATAAATAATAGCTAATTTTATTAGCTGTATCAGAATTTCCCTTTATTTACTCATTATGCAGACAAATTTAGTGAACTTTAGAATTTAATATTTTTACTATGAAACATAGTATAGTATAAAACTTTCCAAACCTAGATATACCCAGAGTCTTTTTCTTCACCTGTTACTCTTAGTACTGCCAAAATCTCTTTCCCAACTTTAAGATCCTCATTTTTCTCTTTTTCTCATTTATTTAATCTCAACAGGTTTTTGCTCCATTATTCTTCGAATTGCCAACTATTTCATTAAAATAACTTCTTGTTTAAGTATTAAATACTTTCCTGATAGAAGAAATTTGAACAAAAAGAAACAAATGAATCTATAAAAATAAAAGCTTAATATGCAAATAGACTGAATGACCAAACAGCAGAACTACCATCCAGATGACCTTCCGGATGACCATGCTATGACACCCCCTGGCACCAGGCCAGCCAAGGCGGGTGCAATAGGTCAGGGGCCAGGCTATTGCCCCATGATTGCCCTGCAGAGGGAGGCCTGGGCCACTGGCCGGCGGGGCAATCAATCAATCAGGGGGATCTATGATTGCCCTGCAGAGGGAGGCCCAGGTCACCGACCAGCAGACTGTGGTGGGTGGGCAGGGCCTCCCTCTGTGGGGTGTGATCGATTGCATGATCGCATTGTAGAGGGAGGCCCAGGCCACTGGCCAACGGGGCAACTGTTCAATCAGGGGGCTCCACAATCGCCCGAAAAAGGGAGGTCCAGGCCACCAACCTGCAGGCTGTAGTGGGTAAGTGGGGCCTACCTCTGTGGGGGCAACTCATTGTGGAGCCCTGGCCGGGTGGGCAGGGCCTACCTCTTTGAGGCAATACATCATGGAGCCCAGGTCAGGTGGGCAGGGTCTACCTCTTTGGGGCGATTGATCACGGGGCTCCTGGGCTGTGGGAGGGCACAGGCTGGGCTGAGGGACACCCTCCCCACCAAGTGCACAAATTTTATGCACTGGGCCTCTAGTATTATTATATTTTCCTAACCTGCTATGACACTTCCAGGTTATAGGACATAGCCATCTCTTTTTAAATTATTTCTTCCTCATTAAAAATGTAAATAAAGGACATTGCCCTTCAAACTCCACATCTCTAGTATCTTTAGATATTGAGAAACAGTTGTAATAAGCAGCTTTGGTAATAGGTGAGTGTGTTTGCTTAGGTACATAAAGGTAAAGCAAATTCACAAACACAGGCCTATTCAATCTCAAGTAAAGGCTTAAACTGACAACCTTGGCAACATTCCACTACATACTGTGGCATACATACTGTGCTAACCCGGCTGTGCTACTGGAACTCCAAAAGAGTGACCCCAGGGAACTGGACAACAGGAGTGGGGATAAGGGCATAGAGGGGATAAATGGTGACAGAAAAATAAAATTTAATATTTTTTTAAAAAGACAAACTGAGAAAGTTTAAATGGATAAAAAACATATTTTTTTTAAACTGAGGATATATTTCTCTCAATCCACATATTGTACTAGTTCTTTCTTGCTGACTCACTATCACATTAATTTTTAGGTATTTTCAGTGGGAAAACCTGGAGAACTACATTATTACCAGCAATTTTTGTAAGTGAACCAAAATTATAATTCTGCATGTGAATTATCTATATGTCTACCTTTCAATCTGTCTTTCTGTGTGTCCTAATCCACAGCAATCACTCATTTGATTTTGTCCTATTTAACCATAAATAAGTTTCCCCTCTGATTTAGTCAAATCCAAAACAGTAGTTATCAGTTAATGTATCGATATTGGGTGATAAAAACTCATACTGACATAAATTATAAGTAAACTGGCAAAAATAAGGCTGACTAAAGAAACTATTTCTAAATTCTTATTTTTCATTTTACTAAAATAAGCATTTTAAAAAATAATATTGATTGGGAGAGACAAATGAAATGACAAAGCTTTGAGATATATATACACACACACACACACACACTGTATATATATGTATGTATGTGTGGTAATATTTCTATGAGTTTGCTAAAGAGTATAGAATAATTAAAGAGAAATATATAAAAGGAGAAAAGTAAGGTGAGATAAGTGTTTCATTCGGTGTAGTCAATCTGAAAACAACCAAATCAATCTTTTAGAAGTTTACTCATGACAACTTTCTATATTATTTTACATTGACTTTCTCTCCTGCTTCACAGATAAGCAATTCAACTTTACAGAAAGGTGGGCACAGTCAGACATCAGTTCAGAAATGGAAAATTGTAATAACTGTATTTTCAGACATAATTTACAGGTTAAACCTAGTGGGAATTGCTTTCCTCCGTGTGGACTTTTAAGGATGATGCATGCTACAAAATGTGTGCTGCTCTCATTTTTCCTCTGAAGATCACTGGATGCTGTGAGATGCAGATGATGACACAGGTGATGCTGCAGACCTCCACCGAATTAACAGCTCTGGGTTTCATCAGCAATCTGTTGATATAGACTGACTCCCACGTTATTTTTTTTCTCTCTAGTGGTTGGAAAATACAATTTTTAATGGTTGAATGAATTTCTATCCACACATTGACTAATAGTAAATCTTTTTAGATCTCATTCAGCTTTATCATTCCCTCCGGCAGTTCAGTTGTTGGCTCAGATTTATTGAGGTCCGACAGAATGCAATTGAAATCTCCCTTTGAAATAAAGTTCCTGGCATGAAAAAAAAATCCATAAAAAGCCTCATCCTTAGGACAGCGACTTTTATAGTGTAGAACTGATCTGACTAGCTCTCAGATGTTGGCCTTGGATAACAGTTCAGATTGTATTATTGTGTATGAACCTTGAGTCTCCGCTCTTGCTGTTTTGTTTTTTTTTCTTTTTTACTAGCACACCCACGCATATTATACTCTTTCTCACTTGCCATACAAAAGAGAATTCAATCTTAAATTAGATATAAAACAATTTCACTGTGTTTCTCCTTCTATAATGCAATAAAGCAATATTCAGGAAAGGAGTTAAATCAATAATCTGTAAGGACTTTAGAAGACTAAATTCATGTTCCATTTATTCTCACATAAATATTGAAATGTTTCCTTAAGATTAAGTATAAATAGGGAAGTACCAACATTATTTAGAAAATATCATTATTAAAAATCTCACCAGTCTCTTAAAACAATTATTCATTTCTTCATTTTCTACATGGGTGTTGTACAATAAGACCACTTAAAGATGTAGGATTTTACTGTGGCAAAGCCTTTCTCTTGAATGAAATTAAAATGGAGGCAATGTAGTGTAGCTACGAACAATATTGAAAGAACATAGATATATACCTTTATAAATCCCAGCTCTAATTGTGCTAATTTCCACAGAGAATGCAGATTTTTTTAGTGTTTTTTCATATTTGTTAATTTCTCAAAGGAAATCTAATATATAACTCCAAATTGCACAACCCTATTGATGCTACTCCTCTAACTGGAGCTGAACTGGCAGAAAAGGGGAATAGAGTACCTGAATTTCTGAACTCCTGGCACATTCTTTATTCTTATCACCATAAGTGACACATTTCTTATAGCAGAAAGAGAATCCATTCTAGTCAGTATAAGAAGAAAGAAGTTCTTAGAGGTGCAGATGTACCTTAATTGTAAAAATAAAAAAAAAAAAACACTTTAGACTGATTTCTGAATCAACTTCATCATCATGCTATAGAATATCTTTCCATGAGAGATTGTCTTCTGTCTTCTCTGCCTTACAAGGAGATACTGATCATGGTCCGTCCTTGACTGGGGATCAAACTCACAATCCAGGCAAGTGCCCTGACCAGTGCATGGGATGATGCTCAACAACTGAGCCATTCTGGCTGGGTTGATCATGGTTCTTAACCTTTGTTTCATAAATGTCCCAAAGACTTCTGGGTAGAATTCATAGTACTGAGAAATTAGTGGGGAAAACCAATTGTAAATTTTAAAAAAAATATTTTGTTGCTCTACATGTTTCTTTCATAATCCTATTTATTTATTTACATACAGACAGATATATATTTTTAAGAGCAGTTTTAGGTTCACAGCAAAATCTCACAGACAGTATACACACCCCCTGCCCTCACACACAGCTAGCCTCTCCCACTGACAGCATCCTGCATCAGAGGGGTATGTTTGTCACCTACACTGACAAAACATTATCACCCAAAGTCCATAGTTGATGTTAGGGTTCACTCTTAGTGTTGTACTTTCTATGGGTTTTGACAATTGTGTACTGAAATTAACTCACAATTATAGTATCATACAGAATAGTTTCACTGCTCTAAAATCCTCTGTGCTCTACCTATTCATTCTTCCCTTCCCACCTATCTTCTTGAAACCACAGATTGTTTTATTGTCTTAACAGTTTAACCTTTTCCAAAATGTCATATAGTGGAATCATATAGTACGTAGCTTTTCCATAGTAGTTTCTTTCACCTAGTTTACATTTTCCCCATGTCTTTTTATGACTGAAGAGCCTATATCCTTTTAGCTTTGTATAATGTTCCATTGTCTGGATGTACCAGAGTTTATATATACACTAGAGGCCCAGTGCATGGTTTGTGCACTGGTTGGGTCCCTAGGGGCTGCTGGCTGCTGGCCAGGGCCTCCCTCCCTTCCCCCTGGCCGGCCTGCCCCCTGGTGGAACTCCCAGAAGAACTCCCGGTGGAGGGGACAATTTGCACACTATACTTTTATTATATAGGATTTACCTACTGAAGGACATCTTGGTTGCTTCCAAGTTTTAGCAATTATGATTAAGTCATTATGGACATCTGTGTGCAGGATTTTGTTTGGATATAAGCTTTAGACTCTCAGTAAATACCATGTAGTGTGATTACTGGAACATATGGTAAGAGCATGTTTAGTTTTTAAGAAAGTGCCAAACTGCCATCCAAAGTGTATGTATCACTTTGCATTTGCATCAGCAACGATTAAGAGTTCCTGTTGCTCCACATCCTCTCCAGCATTTGGTGCTTTGAATAGTTTGGCTTTTTGGCATTCTATTAGGTGAATAGTGGTATCTTATTGTTGGTTTAATTTGCAATTCCTTAATTATATGTGGTGTTAAGCATATTTTCACATGCTTATTTGCTATTTTTATATCCTCTTTTCTGAGATGTCTGGGTATTTTGCCTATTTTTATGTCAGGTTGTTCATTTTATTATTGTTGAGTTTTGAGTTATTTGTATATTTTTAATAACAGTTTTTTACCAGATACGTCTTTTTAAAATATTTCTGTCAGTCTGTGACTTTCTTATTATCCACAGTGACTTTCTCAGAGGGAAGATTTTAATTCTAATGAAGTCCACCTTATCAATAATTTATTTCATGTATTATATCTAAAAAGTCATCACCGTACCCAATACCATCTAAGTTTTCTCCTCTGCTACCTTCTAGGATTTTTACAGTTTCTGTTTTACATTAAGCTTACATCAATTTTTAGTTAAATTTTTGAGATGGGTGTATGGTCTGTATCTGGATTTTTTTAAATTTATTTTTGCATGTGGATGTTAGTTGTTCTAGCACCATTTGTAGAAAAGACTATCTTTCCTCCACTGTATTACCTTTGCTCCTTTATCAAAGATCAATTGACTATATTTACATGGGTCTATTTATCAATTGTCTAATTGTTCTATTGCTCCATTTTCTATTCTTTCACCAATACCACACTCTAGTAAGTCTCTGAGTTGGGTAGTGTAAGTCATCAGATTTTGTTCTCCTTCAATACTGTGTTGGCTATTCTGGGTCTTTTGCCTTTCTGTAT